CAGCCAAGGATACACAAGAGGTTGAAAAAACAGAACAATTAAAAAATGTATTGGAGGTGGTCTGGGTTTTTCATAATGACAGCACAAACGAATCATCCTACAACTTCATCTCCAGGATTATGCTGGGGCAGATCAAATATTGGGTACTTTAAAGAGACATTCTAGTGCTAACAGGAAGACAGTCACTTCCTGACTGCACATCCACTGTGCACCCACCTGAATGTTTCTAGGCTTGTTGTCAGCTTGGATAAATGAAAAGTGCTGAATTAATGTTCCAGTTTTGCAGCCTAACAGCTGCCAACGATCCATGTTTGCATATGGCACCCACAAAGTGCCCATTTGCAAATGAGTACAAGAGAAATTTGAGTGACTAAGTTCAATTCTTTTGCACCAAAGTTCCCTTCTGTGCCAGCAAACCCCTTGGAGGAATGCACCACCGGGTAGTACATGTGATCTTAAGTCAGGCTTTGCAGTGGGGCTGCTCATGCCTGGGCATGGCGAGGCTCACACCTGGGTGCTGAGTTGACTCTGCAGTGAAGGCATATCCTGCTCCTCCACCTGGCACTCTCAGACCAGAGCTGGTGTTTAGGGTAGGTCAAGGTATGGTTACAGGTAGGTCATAGTCTCCTGCATATTCTCCCCAGCCTATATCTGCCCTTCCTGGGCCTAGGGGAGAGAGGCTGTCAGTCCTCAGCATGCTTCTGGCCTGGAAGCCTGAAAGTCTGCAGTTCTCATGAGGCAGCATGTTCCTATGAGTTTTCCTACCTTATATGCCATGGGCATGTCAGAGTGGGGTTAGCGGCTGACCTTTTGGCCTGTAATAATCAAAGGTGAAAGGAAGCGAGTGCACGCTTGTGCACAGCTCCAGCAAGAGCTGGCTGAGTTGCGGCAAAAGCCAGCAGGGAGCTATTTAAACAACTGGCAGGGACTTGGGTTGCAATAGGACAGTACCTATAAGAAATTTTAAGTTACTTTCATGATGGTATTAATTATATGGACGGGAGAGGGGAATAATATTTTTAAAAAGATATCTGCAACGGGGACCAGGACAGGAAGACTCCATTTCCCTGCATTCACATTTTCTGAAGGCTCATTATTGAATTCAGCTTTGCAATCCTCTGGGCAGTTGATAAGAATTAGTGCTTCCACTTGCAAATGGAGGAAGCAGAGGTACATAGCTCCTGCTGTGAGTTGTCACAAAACCCCTGGGATGGATTCTTACCTCAGTTATGCCAGCAGAACAGAGCTCAGGATTTGGTTGCTGGGGTGGTGTGAGGCTTAATTAATTGTTTGAGACTGTTGGAAGCAAGGTGCTTCGAAGTGCAAAGGGCTAGTTAGGCTATGTCTACACTGGGAAGGTTTGGCGACAAAAGTGCTGGCGATATGCAAAAGTGAAAACTGGTTAAACTGGTTTTTCTGCCACCCATTGTCGACCTTCCATGGCCACATTGCTAGCACCCTGTCAACAGACAGAGCAAAGCAATGTGAGTAAGTATCCCACAGTGCAGTGTTGTGGGAACGCAGAGCTGATACCTGTGCTTGTTGGGATTCTCTCCGAGTTCTCCTACAGCATTCTCAGCTGCTAGGCATAGTATCGTTATTATCTCTGTGAGCTCTCCATGCTGAGGAATGTAAAAGCAGCACAGCAGTCTCTCCAGCCTTCCCCCTGCATCGGCAATCTGCCTGCTGCTGTGTTTCTAGCAGAGTGAAACGGGATCATTCCAACGATTTGTTCTTTTTGTTTTTTCCCTAAACAGAGCAGCTCTGTCAGCTGTCAGATACTTCTCCGAGCTTTGAAAGGGGAGGGAGGCGCAAGCCTACAGGGTAGCAGAGATCACAAAACACTGAGTACAGCCACTAGGGTAGGCATAGTGGGATACTGGCAGAAGCTGGTTCTGTGACAAAATAAACAACAGAGTCCACATTGGCACTTTGTCAGCAATGAAAGGAGGGAAAAAGACAAAAGTCTCTCACAGAGGTGGAAGTTTTTTGTTGCCAGAACTGGGTGCCCCTCCCCCCAAACAAAGGTTACATTGTAGTGTGTATGCTCTCACTGTTTTGTTAAGAAAAGGCAGGTTTTGGTGACAAAACATGCCAGTGTAGACCAGGCCTCAGATCACTGTCTGGAGATGAGAGGAAAAATCAGCCTCTCCTATCCTGTTGTTTTAATGCAAAAAACATTTTTCTGGCTTTATACGCCATGTACGTAAAGTTAAGGCAAAAATGAGATTTCATGACCCCCGCTCCCCTGCTTTTTTTGTGGAAATTGTTTCCACTTTTGTCAGATAAGCATCTTGTTTTTATAGCCACAGAGCCAAATGTGGATGTAGCAGAAATGATCTTTGTTAATGTCTTTGGCTGCACTCCCGAGTTAAATTTATGCTATTGTGAAGCAGCATCTTGCTGAATCCTCTTGGTAGTGAATTGCAGGCTACAAGGGGAAAGCCTCACTTTTTCTAGATGACAGGTATTATAATTATGGCCTTTTCTGGAAATTCCTGGGCCTGGTTTTCTCACACTTCAGTGAGCCTCTCAGTTTGCACTGCATGTGCACAGCTACATAGGCAGCCCATTGAATCTCTGGGAGATAGCCATCACCCAACAGAATCCCACAGCTGTGTGCTGTGGGGAGGAGCATTAGGAGCTCTGCTTATTTTACTGATTCTATTAACTGGGACAAACAAGGCCAGTAGGTCAGTAGAAAACTCAGAAAAAGTCCCTGTCCATGCCAGCCTCCCAGCCTTGATTAAAAACCAAGTTTGAATGGAATGTGGTTTCTTCTCAATTAATTTATAACACAGTCACATGGGTTACACTGTAAAATTGTACCATGCCTGAATGCTTATGTTAGCTGGCATGATGCTGAATTTAGTTTCTGACCACAAACCTGTGCTCAGAGTTATTATTATAGTTCATCATTTCATTTGTGCTGAACAGCCACAGTCATGGACCAGAACTGCCTTGTGCTAGGCACAGTACAAACACAGAACAAAACGATTCCCTGTCCCAAAAAGTTTATCATATCCAGACATGGTAACATTTTATGCTGCATACCAGGCCCAAAGGCTGGTAGCAGTCAGTGTGGATGAGGCCAAACCATGTCAAACATTTCATTGACCTTGTGAATTCTTGGAGGGAGAGGAGTTTAGGGTTTTTAAAAATATTTCTCTCTCTTCGTTTCTTGTCACCCTTTCAAAATTCAGAGGCTGTGTGTACATTGGCACCCCTTTCCGGAAAAGGGATGCTAATGAGACACTTCGGAATTGCAAATCCGCAGGGGATTTAAATATCCCCTGCTGCATTTGCATTTACATGGCTGCCGCTTTTTTCCGACTCGGGGTTTTACCGGAGAAAAGCGCCAGTCTAGACGGGATCTTGCGGAAAATAAGCCCTTTTTCGGAAGATCCCTTATTCCTACTTTCAGATTTGTATTGCGCAAAAAAGCCCCGATCACGAAAATGACGATCGGGGCTTTTTTGTGGAAAAGGACGTCTAGATTGGCATGGACGCTTTTCCGGAAAAAGTGCTTTTGTGGAAATTTCTGCAAATGCTTTTAACGGAAAACTTTTCCGTTAAAAGCATTTGCAGAAAATCATGCTAGTCTAGACGTAGCCTAGGAGTGTAGAAGTGGGAAGGGGGGTTTTCAGCCCATGTTTCACAGGGAACAGGTGTCTATGTGATGCAATTTTTTTTTGCAAAAAATATGTAACAGAGTGAATAGACAGAACTAGGCAAACCCATTTTGCTTACCTTAGGAGGGCTAATTAGTAGTGAAATTCTCCCTTCCCTCCTCCAGCTTAGTGCAGAGACACCCAGGCAAGGAGGAATGTCAGAAGGTAGCTGTGAGTAGACTAGGTCGAGCACCAATGTTTCTTCTGTTCATTTCCATCCATGTGCAGATTTTTTCCATTCATGTGCAGAATACATTTTTATGTGCTCTGAGACACGTGCGAGTGTACACCACAGGTAGAAACAAAAAACCCTAGCTGTGGGCACTCTGCTAATCACTGGCCAGCATTTGAATCTCTCCTCAGGGGTTGTATGAGGCAACCCTGTGTCAGAGCAGGCTGGCCCAATTAAATGGGGCCAGGCTACACCTGGGGTTAGCAAGGACTGTCAGAATCAGGAGCAGTGTTCACTGAAAGCTATGCACCAAGAGAGATTCCAATGCCACCCAGCTAATTAGCAGTGTGCCCACGGCTAGTTTTTTTGTTTCTACTAGTGGTGCACATTCACACATGCCTCGGTGCACATACAAATTATCCTGCACATGTCTGGAAAAAATCTGCACATTGATGGAAAAGATATGGGGAACCTTGGTCAGGAGGCAGAATTATCAGTACAGGTCATGCCTGTGTCAAGGAACCATGGAGGAGTGGAGGGAGGGATCCCTGATGGGAGGGGGCAGGTACCTGGGACCTGCTATTCCAGAAGCGTAACATAGCCCGTGGAGAGCAAAAGTGGCTTTCTGTGTTTGTGTGGACAGAAAGCCTATTTAAAGGTGGCTGGGAGCATGGCAGCTGGGCAGAAGCCCTGCCCTGTGACACTGCACTGTGGTATTTCTGACCATGATGAGGACTTGAGCAGCAGTCCCCCAGAAAGGCCTGCCAGAGAGTAGCAGTTCATGGCAGCTCTGAACAGCAATGAACAAGGCGCATGTGGGGGAGAGCACGGGGCTAGTGGCGGAGCTACTGCTCTGCTGTGAACTACTCCTGCTGCTACCAGAAGGGACAGCAGCTCCCTAGGGTTGCCAGATGGTTTAACCAAAAATACCGATCTCCCCACCCCACCCCAAAAAAAACACTGGGGGGGGGGGGAATTCTGTTAAGAAAAAAAGGGGGAGACCAAAATTGTTGAACAACAACAACAAAAAAGGACCCAAAGAGTTATTAAGCAAAAAAATAAAATAAAATAAAATAAAATAAAAAACAGCATGGCCCCTTTAAGAAATGCTTTTGAGGCTTTTTGGCCCTAATAGGCTTCTGGTGGCCATCCACCATCTTGTCTTCCTGCTCCGGGCCAGACAGCTCCCCTGTGAAACCAGGTAAGCACCCAGGATTTTCGCCTCATGGCCGGGAAAAAAATCAGAAGATACCAGACATTTTAGGTGTCCAGTATTTTCTGGATTTTTACTGGACAGAAGGCGAAAATACCGGACTGTCCGGGTCAATACCGGACACCTGGCAACCCTACAGCTCCCTGAGGCTGGAGTAGCAACAAAGGAGGGGCAGGGAGGGACTGTGCTGCAGCCCCAGGGTCTCCCTGTGAACTGGAGCCTGGATCTCATTTCCACAACCCCTTCACACGAGACCCAACTACCTGGGCCTACTATGGAATTGCAGAACATCTCACTGTGAGTGTTAAATGGGGGCTGGTATAATATTAACACAAGCTAGCTTTTCTGTGGTGATCTCAGTAGCAGTCAAATCTTATTATCCCCATTTTACAGGGGAAAACTGAGGCACAAGGGTGCTGCCCAGAGGCAAACCACACCGTGGGAGGTGAGTGGAACACAGCTGTATTGAATCCCAGTATAATGGATTCTCAGCCAGGCCACAGTGCTGCACATAATACATAGAGCATGAATTTTTTGTTAACTAGAGGCAGAGAAGCTTTATTATATTGATGCTTTTATTTGATTATCTCACCATGAGACATGAAGAAGCTGAGGGAATAACTGACCAACCCAGGGTCATTCAAAAAGCCAGTGGCAGAGAGGGGCCTAGGACCTCAGGCTACGTCTAGACTATAGGCTTCTTTTGGAAGAAACTTTCTTTGGAAGAGATCTTCTGAAAAAACTTCTTCCGAAGAGAGTGTCGAATCTGCAAAAGTGCATCCAAGCTGAACGGATGCTATTTCGCATGTAAGCTGTGATTGCTATGGACGGAGCGGCCACCAGAGCACCCTCTTGCCTCTTCTTCTGAAAGAACTTCCTCCTCCCTGTCCACACATGCCTTTTTGCAAAAGAGCTGTTTTGTAAAAAGACTTCTTCCTTGTACAATGAGGATTACCAGTGCCAAAAAACCCCCCCTCTGTTCTTTCGATTTTCTTGCAGAAGAATGTCATTGCAGTGTGGATGTTCCTCAAGTGTTGTTGGAAAAACAGTCGTTTTTCCAACAAAACTCTGTAGTGTAGCTATACCCTCAGGATTTCTAATTCCCATTGTGTGCTGCAGAGACACGCGCTGGACTTGTGCAAAATCTCTAAGCAGTGTTGTTTGTATATATTTTAGGAAGAGTCAGGAAAGATCCTGCCTAATAATTATGCAGCCAAATAAGAGTGAAAAGACTTGTTTCAGCTAATGTGAGATAATTGAAACAATGTGAAAATGCTTTTCATTTTTATTAAAATTAATTTAAGAGATTGTTCTGGCTGGCTGTAATGAGTTTAAAGAGTTTTCTGTTATAATGATGTATCTGATATAATACTATTGTGAGATATTACCATTCACGGCTATAACTCCCCCTCATTATTAATGCCTCCCATGGTTCAGGTATGAAGTTTTATGGCTGGTGTAATAAGCAAGTCCCAGTGCATCAGTTTCAAAAATATCAAGGACCTTATATTAGTGATATACGAAGGGGCTGCAGGTAGAGGCTTAGAAACAGCTTTGTCTATATATTGTAATGTATAAACTTTAAAGCCGAAGTGCTACATTGTCCAGAATTTTCATAAGCGCCCATCACTTCATTGAGAAATGCATACAATGATCAGATATGCAACAGGACTCAATGTGACTTATTCCTAGACTTCAAAACAGCTAGTACCCAAAAAGACCAGGTTCTTTAGAAGATCTGCCATCACTTGCGTTTCTAGTTATTCTCAGGCTATTCCCTCTCCGGGTTCAATTACAGCTGCTGTTTATATAGCAACATAAGCATAGCTGCCGATTCACAAATAGCTCTTCTGCTCCAAGGAGCTCAGACAGGCTGTCGGGACCCTGGTGACTCCTGAGAAGTCTCTGGGAAATGATCTGTGTGTATCCAGGGATAGCTAAGCCAGCCCCCAGCTATTTGTGTCTTGAATGTGTTTTTCAGGCTTCACAGGACTAAAAATGACCGTCAGGAGCCTGGCATAGGTCAGAAGCTCTATCTATGGGCAGCTCTTGAAATTCATTCTCCTGACTGCAGCAATCCTGCCTCATGTTCAGAGGGGCGCAGTCCACTTGCAGCCTCACTTCCTGTCGTTACTGAAAGAGATGCACACATTGATCTCATTCCCAGCGTTCCCTCCCACAAGCCTGTCTCTCTGGGTATGTCTACACTACCCCGCTAGTTCGAACTAGCGGGGTAGTGTAGACATACCCCAACTCTCATTCTCACGCCCCCATTTTCCTAATCTCCTGTCCTATAGCCCATCTCCAAGGCCCTGCCCTGACTCCTTCACCCCCACACAACGTGCACCCTGCCCTGAAGGACCTAGGCAATGCTGGCTAAGTCTTATAATCCAAAATATTTTTTTTAGGTTTTTCCTTAACTAAAATCATAAAACCTGACATGCATACATTGGAATATCTAGTGGTTTCTCAAGATACAGGATTACTAAATGGAAAAAGGAAAAGGCAGTTCTGTTTAGGAGCTTATCCTGTTTAGCATGTCATATTTGTGTTGCATATATACAGACATTAAAATAATCTTAAATCATAGATTCTCCTGGGGAATGGAATGTAACTGTACTACACAATGGTACAATACTTTTAAGAGGTTCATGGATTTAAGAAAGGCTTTGTATGTGTCAGATTCAGTCTGAATCCAAACTAACATTATTTTCTCAGCATTCATAGGATCATGTCTCACATCATATAAATCGTCCATCCAAGTCTGGAGGTTAAAGAGGAAGTTTGTCGGTTGTGAATGGACACCCAATGCAAGACATTCATTAGCATGAGTGACAGCACGTACCGCATGGCCAACAAGTGGCTTTTCATCCAAAGCCCTCTGAAGTCAAAGGGAGTCTTTCCACTGATTTCAATGGGCTTTAGAGCTGGCCCTTAAACTCAGAGCCCTTTGAGGAAAGGATAACCTCAGACTACTCAGAAAAGAGAGAAATATACATGGCCAAAAGTAGTCCTGTGGCACCTTAGGGTATGTCTACACTAGCTCGGTAGTTCAAGCTAGGTAGGCAAATTAGGGCAACCGGAGTTGCAAATGAAGCCCAGGATTTAAATATCCGGGGCTTCATTTGCATCTTCTCAGGCGCTGCCATTTTTAAATCCCCCTTAGTCCGAACTCCGTGCCCATGGCTACACGTGGCACGGAGTAGGTAGTTCGAATTAGGATCTCTAATTCGAACTACCGTTACTCCTCGTGGAACCACAAGACCACCATGTGTGATCTTCCGACACACCTTGTGCTAGAGGTTTTATTTCGTAATTCAGAAAGACATGTCTTTGCTTGAGCTCACAGGCGATGTTAAAAAAATGGCATGGTGTTCTGGCAGCCATGACATCGACTTGAACCCTCTTAAATGCTCTAAAGAAGGGAAAAATAAATGGCAATCACCAGTTAGGGTACTTAGGCCTTAAATTATTTACAGTCAAACAAAATCTAATGCTTTCGGATTTATGGTACATATCCACAATAGCAACACCAGCTGCTACCAGAATGCAACCGGCATGAGCCACTGTCTCCCATTTGCAAGTGTCAGGGCACAAAGGATTCGAATGGATAGCAGTGCAGAACGGCTTATTTGTTGTTAAGGCTTCAGCCTAGTCCAGGTAAGATCCATTGACTCATTTCATGAAGGCTACAGGGTGAGGGATTGGCCATGATTGACTGAAGGACAGTGGTGGGCCCATGGATTGCATACGACCCATTGGGGTTCTATATGTGGCTCACAAGACATTTGGTTTACTGTTGTCCACGCACAGCAATGCCAGAGTCTGCTGGTTTCTATCCACATAGTGTTTTTTCCTATTGGTATTACTAATGTGATAGCCACATAAAACAAGGGCACGTGAAGTGAGGTGCGTGTGATTGCTCACAATAGTGACTGTGACAGCCGTGCGCCCTCTCTGCTAGATTCACTCGGCACACCCCGCAAATTCTAGGTACGCACACACCATGAGCAAAACTACCCTGTCCCAGGAGACCATCTTGGTTACAACAATCTCATGATGAAGATGAGATGGAGGACCACTCATGCGGCCCACTCACTAGCCTAGGTTGCCCATCGCTGCTGTAGGGTGTTCCATGGACTAAACTATCCTGAGCAGTTTCTTATCTGTAATCCACACAGAGTTCTGTAGTGTCTAGCAAACCCAGAGACAAAGTGGCTGTGGGAAAAATGGCAATTCCTTTCTCAACAGATCAGTTCCATTTGTTTCTTCAGGGTCACATCCGCTGAAGCTAGTGTCAAAAGCAAGTGCTTGCTGACTCTCATGCCTGCTAGCCTAGTAGAGCCAGCATACGATAGACAGAGGATTCTATTCCATCTCATGCCCCATCAACACAAATGTTTACCGAGTTCCAATCATGTAGGCCCAGCAAAGGCAATGGGAGTGCACAGATGTTGCTGAGACATCATTTGAAGGCAATGGGGGTACCCAGGTATCTGTGAGCTCCTTGGGCACAGGTGATGGTGAGTGGGATGAAAGAAACCAGCCTGACTGGCAGAGAAATATCTTCTGACTTTGAACCGAGCACAGTCGAAATACAACAGTGAGACCCAGTGAGCATAGTCACCTGTCAGAGCAGCATAAGGCTTTATGCAAAACCAGAGCACAAATATGGAGCTTCCTTGGTGAGCTCCAGGTGCAATGATGCAGCTGGCCCACTAGCCTTATTGCAGAGATGAGCTGGCCACTTCCACTCATCACTGGAGATATTTAAATGTGAGACATTCTGCCCAGGCCAAACCCCACCTGGAGTTCCCCATTCACTTCAGAGCCCCATCCTGTGCTGTGAGTCCATAGGGAGAGGGCAGTTTCAAACACCATCGCTTGAAACAAAGACCAGTTCGCCTTGGGCATAATGAAAATGCGATATGCGGGAGTGCTGGCAAGGGAGAATGACTTCAGTTTCTTATGGTTGGGGCCAAGAAGTAATGTCATGAGGCAGGGGCCAAGACACCGCTGACTCCAGTGCTTTCTGGTTCAGGCAAGAAGTGGCCTTGGAGGGAACTAACTGACAGGTAGAATAAAAAGCATCTCTCTTTTTTCCCCCTGTTGTTCAGAACTTTGCTCTGTTGCTTGGTCTTTAGGAAAATTTCTGCAGGTATGCAAACTAACCAGCTGCCTCCATGGGTTCAGAATAGGCTTCAGCTGTCTTGTTGTTACCATGGGTATGAAATTATTCTCCCTGTTGCATTGGAGGATTCAGAACACAGATCCCTGTTTGCAGGTGCAGGGAGTGATTTTGCTGACTCAGCCTGATTTCCAGACAATACAAGTAGCATCTTAATTCTGAACCAGGAAAAGCTGGGAGTTTCTCTGAGGTAACACAGTGTGGAAGGAAAGGTCCGTATGTTATGCAGGGAGAATTCCTCATCCACATCCACATGG